GAAGCTATCGAGAGACCAAATCTACAACTGGAGAATCCATCCCCTAAAGCAGAAACTTCATCTAGTGAAAAGCCGCAGAGCGGTCCATCTCATCTCCCTACAGAAAGCACAGGAGCACAGGAAGCAGGGACAGATAAGCAGCCTGGATCAGGTGCGGTCAAGGCAGAGCAAACGCATGAGACGGAAGCAGAACTAGCTAAGCTGGAATCCGAGTTTGGCAAGGTCGGTCAAGACTACTCAGGGGAGGAGATTAATGACTGGGAATTCGATGAACTTGAAAGGGAATTAAAATCTGGTGAGTCATCAACCAAATAGCCCAATACTTATGCTGGCAAGGTGATCGTCACCTGTGTACTATAAGGGATATGACTCTACCTGACCTCTGAAAACCTACACATACTTAATTTTGTAATTTCATTGCAACAAGTGACGGATTATCAATTTGTTAATTCTTCCTTAAATTCTCGAACGCATGTGATATAATATGGATTTACAAATGAATGAATGGTTTAATTTGGATGTAACCGGTGAGCCACAACAATCTCTACAACGGTTTAGCCTCATGGCACCATGTTTCATATAACTGTTCGATACGATTGAGAAGCCACATTGCTTCTCTTCTCTGAAGTGGGGAACGCCGGAAGCCCACTGGATGTTTAAGCGGGCCTCTCGTGCTTCCCCACCTACGGAGGAGTCCAGAAGAGAATGTGGGGTTTCAAGATTTTTTGTTTATATGGATTTGAAAAGGTTTCGGATATGCAAGTAAAAATTTTGTTTTATGTTTCAATAGCACCATAATTAGGGAGGACCTCCTATGTTTTTAGCACAAAGGGAACAGAAGCTAGTGGCCTGGACATTAAACATATCTCCACCCAAAAGTGCTTCCTCCAAAAGCACCTTCTAAAACGACTTCCAAAAGAAGTTGTTTGAAGTCGTTGTTGCAATTCTCTTTTGTGGGATGCCCGGCCAAAGGTGCCTCGATTAGTCGATCCAAGACTTATCAGTCCTTGAACCAATCAGATAGCTCAAGTATCCCTGATTTTGGGGTTGTGGGTCATTTGTATGAAATTGTGGCCATCCTTTGCTAGAATGATTTTTAATGTAATTTGGGAACGTAATTTGTTATTGCATATAATGTAAGAGTTGTGCTAAGATTCTCGTCCATGCGCGTGGGTAAACATCAACCCTTGATGCGCTGCGAAACTCATCTCAATCAACAGCTAATGACTACAGTTGACTATTAGTAACATTTCTCATAAAAGTAAATGTAACATGTATTGGTTGTTGGACCCTTATTATTTAGGAGATATTCTTATGTTCAGACTCTTGTATAAGGCACCAGACAGTGCAGACACAAATAAATATAATCGAAGAAGGTGGGCGAGACCAAAATACAAAAGAGAGAGATGCTTTATGTGTAGTTGGACGGCCTTGTGATCCGGACTCCTGCACCTAAGAACTTCTCCTTTATGGCGATGCAAGGGTTAAAAGCAGGAGAAGGTATTGATATGGTCAAGTATGATGGAGGATTAGATATTGTGGAGTAGGGTGAGAGTGAGTCGAGTGACTTGTTACTAATCAAATTCAAACCCTTAAAATCTAAGCTAAAGAAAGCAAATTTATGAATGCTTGCTGTAGGAGGACAATCGTGCGCTACTACTCAGTGTCGTTTGTCTCAAGAAAAAACACAGAAAGAACATAACACAAATTTTTTATTTTTTATTTTATTTTTCAAAACATTTAACAACTTGATGCAAAATATGGATATTTTAGAAAGTGGGAGAAGCCACATGATATAACCCTTGTGTACTTATGTGATGTATGGAGTTCCCCATGCTATAGCGAGAAACTCTAACACATCCTTGCGACACCTCTCACACAAAATGTTGATTCTATATGTGAAGCTGATATAGGGCTTTTTTTTATGTGAGAAGTGCCGTATACATCAACATATAACTTTTTCACTACAAGTCTACAACACACGTACTATTATCAATATTCAAATCTAAATTCTAAACTCAAAACTTAGTATACGCGTTATAATTTGAGTGAATTTAGATACGCAACATATGCCTAACCACCTGGCCAAAACATATATGATCAACTTAGCTAGTGAGTGATGATGATGAGGAAGTGTGAGGGAATAGAATAGGGTGACATTAGAGCCATGGCCAACCATTTAATTTGGGTTTTGAAAAATGAGGGAATCCCATTTCTGTGTTTTAGTGCCTTAAAAATGGTTCGAGGAAAGAAAACAGTGAGAAAAAGATGGAACGCAAAGATGGGGAGGGTGTTAAAAGGAGAAGACAAATGAAAGGTCTATCGAGACTCGCAGGCATTCCTTCCGGAAGTTCCCTTTCCCACCCACCACCAACTGTCGGCTTCTGTCTTGGCTCCTTTTTGATGTCGACAAATTCTCCCCTCCCTCCATTTCACTATAAACAATACAATCTCCTCTCGACTTTTTCTCTCATTTTATAGAAACTAATAGAAACATGTTCAAGATATTTATTAACTTTTCAAAAAGAATATTGTTTGATTCTTTTACATGTGAAATATTATTTGATACGAGAAAAACTTATGTATAGGTATTCAACCACATCATTCGTATGATATTTCTCTTAAACGCATGAGATTTGTTTGTATCTTTTTCATCCGGACTAACACTATGTTGGTCTCACCGGTGTGATAGCCGCCCTAGTCAAACATCCCACAAAAAATTCCTAGTACTCTAAATCAGTCTAAATATAACTTTACTCACTAAGGGTGATATGGTAGTATTGATTTATCACCTCTTTTCTCCATATTTACTCTTCATCTCGCTCGACTCTACTGTAGTAACTAATTCACGTACAAAACATGTGTCGCCACTCTAGTACGATACATATGCAAAAATAACTAGTTAAAATTCCAAAAAAAAAATTCTGCGTGCATGCATGTCAAGCTTTTACTTATGTGTAAGATTAAATATCAAATATGGCGCATATAATAAAATTGGAGATAAGTTAAAGAATGATCAAAGATGTGTGCACGTACAAATATGAAATGAAAGTGAAAAACAAGCCCAGGAATCCAGTAAAAGTAAGATGATCAGGTGAAGTGTACTACAAAGTGATTTTTTTTTGTTCTAATTACTATATTGGATTACAAGAGCTTTTTCAACCTATAGCTCCCACCATTACTTCACCGATTAAAAAAGCTTTTTCGTTGTCTTTGAGAGAGAGAGAGAGAGATAGTTTACATTCTTGGCGGCATAAAAAGCCAGGTTTTGAGACGTGCGGTTGGTCACGAATTTAAATTTAACTACAAAGGTGGTGAGTCTGAGAAGAACTTAAAGAAATATGTACTTATTTTCTTGTGCTTGAGCCTAATTTTTGATTTATTTAATTCACTAATAAAATAGGTGGCATTAGTGAGCATGAAACGGATGTGATCAGTGAAGGATTCAAGATTTTAATATTGGGTGATCCTAATAATCAAGATATGCTAGGCGCTAGTCAAACAGCAGATTGGGGCCTAACGTCTATGCGCCTGGACGGGGCTTTACAAAATGTTTTAGAAGTTGTATGAATTTACAGGTATTAGTTGAGTAACACTAATTAAAATGCTAAGCGGCACAACTTGATTGGGTAATAATTAAAAAAAGAAAAAGAAAAAGAAAAATGGAGAGTTGGTCACTTGGGAAATGGAAAGAAATTCTTTCTTCTTCGTTGGAACCAAGGTCCAAGAACAGCAGGGCCATAGGTAGTCTTCTTTGTGTTCCTCTTCATCTTAAATTAGATCTATCTACTTGGTTCAAAGTTTTTCTTGCACATCATCTACATAGCATGGTGGTTTGCTCCAAAAGCATTGGGTGGTCCTCAGAGGTCCTCACAGGTTACTTTTTCTGACCCTGGGTGACCCCGGGACCACCCAGGTCCATGAATCAATCCGCACCTAGATGTGATAATGTTTCAAACCAATTACAAAACACTGTGCAGAAAACTTAAAGCATCGACGTTGTATTTTTGGTCTGAAATACCGTCGTGACGTCGCAAGAGATACAAGCAACATTCTTCCGAGTTTTGAGTTAAAGTAGCATCGTTTAGTTGGGCTAAAAAACGAAATCATGCACTCAAATGTTATTGCACCAAGTATTCTCACTAACAATAATATCAGTTTCCGACAGCACTCGTTAAATATTTTATAAGATATTCTAGTAAGTTTCAACTTTGAACGATTCAAGCATTGTTTATTTTGAGATGTGTCAACTTCACAAGTAAACTGAAACAATTTTCTGTCTGACAAAGACCAATTCACCCAGCAAGAGCCGGCCTGGGCCAAGTTGATGAATGTGATCAAGAGGTTAAGGCAAATCATCAATAGATATTAATCCTTTTAATCATGGTTCTTGCTTAATTTAGCACTTTTTAGATATTATTAACCACAATATTCCTCTTTTTTCACAACTTAGCAACTTTGATTGGAAAATGCATGGTCCCAACAATTAAAGTCTTAAACCTGTCCCGAGTCCAGGAAAAAATATAAAACCGACGTGCATTCTGATCAATTCAAACGCTCATCTTCTTTTTTAGTGTAAATTAATATAAAATACCATTTGTAGTAAAAAAAGATAGATAAATATATATATAGGCTGATCCGTGACATCATTTCTTTTACACAGCTTTTGTATGACTCACTTTATAATGTATTTTAACGATCTCAACTGTCCATGTTTTAAAATATCATCCATAGATCATTCTTTCAAAAAAATTAGAAAAATCCAAAACCATTAAGACAACATGATTCTACTAAAAAACCTTGAATACAACAGTCTTATGGTTTCATATATTGGGTGATTTTTAGTGGACATGATCTTTGAAAAAAAACCTAAAAGACAATTAGAATCGTTAAAATAAATTACGAAATATGCTTCATAAAAATTTGTGTGAAAACTTGTGTAAGAAGAATGGCAACCCGGATCCATCCCATAAACAAAGAAAGAGATAAGCACAAATTTTTTTAATGATAGATAGAGAAAAGAAAACATTTATAAATGAGCCAACAGAAAAGGTCCACATCATATTTTATATTTGGAATTTTGGGAGCACTTAAAAAATATTCTAAAAAAACAGTTTATTTCTCTCTATAAGTTGGCATCATCGACATTCTCGAAAGGTGGCATAACACCTTTCATAAACCTCACCAAGCTCATCTTCAAGCAGCACAGAGGCTATGGCTGTAGACCACCTATCCTGTGACCATGCAGACGATGACTACATCGACATGGATGTCGGTTCGTACTCCGCCTCCCTCAACCATTCCATGAGCTCCCCTCCACACCCCAGAGAGTTTGAGTTTCAAATGTCATCCACTTCTTTGAAGAGGTATTCCCCCTCAACCTCTCCAGCTGATGAGCTCTTTTACAAAGGGAAGCTCCTTCCCCTCCAACTCCCTCCGCGCTTACAAATGGTCGAAAAACTACTGCAAAACTCCCACTCTGGTTTCGATCACCGAAAAGATATGTTTGAAGAATTCTATAGCACTCCATTGGCCACCACTGCCCCAACTCCAACCACAACCAGCACCCCATTTGAGTCCTGCAATATCTCGCCTTCGGAGTCTTGCCAGGTTAGCAGAGAGCTGAACCCAGAAGCGTATATTTTGGAGTACTCAACTGAAGGGAGCGGCTTTACGAATGAAAACCCAAAAAAGTCTTGGACCAAAAAGTTCAGGCAGTCATTGCTTGGTTCAAAGCTGAAGGCTTCCCGGGCATACTTCAAGTCTCTGTTTGGCAAATCTGGTTGCTCGGACGAGTCCAGTGCAGCTGCTGCCAGGAATGCAGATGGAGGAATGGTTTTCAAATCTGAGGATTTAAGTAAATATGTGAAGACATCCAAGAAAACCCCATTTGGACAAATTCAGAGAGAGAAATACCAGATGTCTGCTTCTGGCGCGAGGAGCTTCAGCAAAGCCAAGGTCATTGAGGATGGTCCTGGTCTCCACAGGAGATCGTTCTCACTGGCCATCAAACGGAATTCAACAAAGATCTCAACATCCTCTTCATCATCTTCGGGCTCTTCTTCATCTTCAAATCATTCCAATGGAACTCAGGAGCTGCAGTTTCTGAAGAGATGCAACAGTGCAAGTTCAGAAATTGAGAGTTCAATTCAGGGGGCAATTGCACATTGCAAGCAGTCTCAGCAACCTTTTAGTTCAAGAAAGACCGTCAGTGAAGTTGGGTTCTACTCATTGTCATCTTCGAGGATAGCAGCTTGTGAGGATCAAGAAAGACCAGAGCTTTGTACGGGCTGAAGGGCTCTCAGTGAATGGGAGGGAGGGAGGGGAAAGTACAAACTTTTGACTTGGGTTAATGATGTGTTATTTTTTTCCTTCTTTCACAAATTTGTTAATGAATATGGTTTGGTTCAGTGCATGGCTGTCAGAAACTCTGTTTCACTTCTAAGACAAGACATCATGTTCTTCCCCTTTTTTACTAAACTGCTTCACTTCCAGCAAATTCCGTGGCTCTAGAATTCAACTAGCTAACAAGTTTTCAATTTACGAGCATGTGGTCCAAAATCCTAATGGATAGAATGTTGGGTTTCCACTCATGCGTCCTGGGTTCGAAACTGGCTATCTTTTAAGACGTCATAATCAAGAGAATTATAAAAGAAAAGATTGGTAATAATCCATGTCAAGGGTCTGAGATTTGTAAATTAACCCTGATGTTATTCAAGGAGTCGCCTGATGAACTCTCGGGGATCAGTTTCACCTCCTCAAATTACAATGAATGAAAAAACGACAAAAAAAAAAGATTAATCCTACAAGATTAATCCTAAAGCACGGTATAAATGAACAAAATTACGAACTCGACGAAGAAAAAGGGAAGACGTTCAACAATTTAATATAACAGGAGTTCTTCAAGTGCAAGAAAAGAAAACAGCCTTTACTTTGGCTCTTGTTTCCTTCCCCTTTTCTTTTCCCAGATACTTCCTAGTGGGAAATATAAACCTTAAATTTAGTGAACATGTCAGCCAAAAATTTGACAGGATTAGAGCCAAAGAAAGCAACTAAAAGGTCTAATTGATGTTGTTGAGCACTATGGGTTAACAGATACCCATCTAACCACAAACCTTTTTCCCCACTCAAATTTTAATGTTATCTAGGAAAAATAAGGAAATGGTAGGCCTTGCAGACCAGCTAGATTGTTACATCAGCACAGAAGCAACAAAGTTGCCCCTAAAAACTAAGATATCAGCATCCATACCCATTTAGCCTAACAGCAATAAGTGAAACATACACCGAGAATGTGGCAAAGACCAGTAAAGAATAAATCAATGTAACAAAACTTGTCGTATCTCGTTTTATAGTGGTGAATTTGCATCCTTAACTACTGATTAGTTTCGTAGTGACGAAGGGCTTAAGGTTTGGATCAAACTGATTTTTCCCGAATGCAACAGCTTACATGAAGTTCAGAATTCAATGTCAATCGCATATACAAAAGACTAACATTGCTCTGGTAAGAATATTTTTTTTATCTTCGAGACTATGGTTGAAAAGGTCAATAGCGCAAATGATCTTTCTTATCAAGTTCTTTTGGTTTGAACTAGGAACGGGCCTATGGGAGGTAGTGGATTTATCACCAGGCCGTCCCCTATGACCTGAGAGATTTGGATATCTCCAATCCCTTGCATATCCTTTTATTGTGCTAGCATAATGATTATACCGTAAGCACATATATAAATATTCGCAAACATACAGAAATAAAGACAATTCCTACTCTTCATTTATCTTTTTAAAACCGCTAAACAAATCCAAATCTCCATATAGCAACAAACTCTACTAAAAACAGAGGTAAACTAAGCCTGCCATGTATGACCATTGCAGCTTACTATCTGTACTTAAAGACAATGATTTTGTCAATGCATCACAAAGTCAACATCTCTTATCATTTTATTTGGGATGCACATCCAACTGATAACCAAAACATAATAACACACAAACCAGATGAGGAAGAATTTAAATGCACTGTAGACCTGTAACTTGTTTGAAAATCAAGTGCTTTGATTTCTCGGCATCCATCTTGATAGGCAGTTGCATTTATACAGATGGATCTTGCCATTTCCTGAACACAAACAAATTCAATCGTACACATGAACACAGACATTCGTACCCACCGTCAAAACATGTACACGCACGTACACAAACATGTATCTAGACAAATGTCTACACACGCCATGTAGAGAACTCAAGTCGATTCATTTGCCACTTACCGCTATTATGCAGGACACGAGTCAGTTGACTGCAGCTTGATAACAATCTGCCACAAAACAAACAGGACCAATTAACAAGCTATATCTTGCCCACAAAACATCAAAATCATAAACTACTATATGCGTCTCTACAACTAAAAAGTTCAGAACTTCACTTTCAGTAACATGTCGAAACCAATTGCAATCCATACAAGTAAGGTAAGGTATCAAATTAATCACCTTAGTTTTTTCAGTTGCTTCCAATATAATCACACAACCGTTTACTCCCATCGAGCACTTTCCCGGCCCAACAAAGCCGACTCGAATCCTCCCCGTTAAATTCAATGCCTGTAACTTTTCACATTGCAATAAAAAACCAAGACTTCCCAATTGCAATACACAATTCAAAAACTCAAAAAACAAAAACAGGGTTACCTCCCAATAGTTCCTGAAACTCAGAAACCGCTTTGAGCTCTCTCTGCAAAGCTTGTATGTGGTTTCTCAGTACATGGTAAGACAAAGGCTTATTGTATACAACCTGGTCCTGTTTTCAAAAACCCAGAATTTATCAGTGCGTTTTCGTTCTCGAAAACAATTCGAATTCAAATTCTTTGGTTTATACCTTGGAAGCGTAGGATTTGACTTCGGATAGAGCTCTGAGGAGAGAAGCAGCTGCATTAGTAGTTAAACAAGTGAGTGATTCAGAGATTAAGGATTAAGATTCGGATTAGTGGGTTGTAAGCAAAGTGATTAGGGTTTTTCGGGTTTTGTTTGAAGTTTGAACCTTTTGCGTCGCCATGGAGGAGTTCCAGACGAGGTTCGAGCTCGAGAACCAGGCGGTCGATCTTGGTTTGGAGATTGGAAATTCGGGAGATGTCGGGGGCAATCTCGTCAATTGGCGAAGTGCTTGCGCAGTCGTAGAGGAACTCCTTCTGGTCGGAGCCCTCGCCGCGCTTCACGTGGATTCGAACCATTTCCGGCTGAGAACGGAGGGACGGAGCGGTCAAGTTCAAAATGCTCACGAATCACGATCGAGCAAAAACTCTTATTGTGTTTTACGTGGCATTATACAAGAATATGTGAAACAAATTCATTTTGTAAGATGTTTCTTCCTTAACACGTCGAAAATGCAGAGATAACATGTCTTGTGTTTGTTATCGGCACATAATCGATGACATATAATAATCAAGAACGAAAGTTTATTACCCTAGGCGAATAAAAAAGAAATAGTAGTAGTTACTCGTGAAGTCATTAAAAATAAGTTTTTTAATTAAAATGATCCCTTAAATTGCTATAATTTTTCATTTTGGATCTCAAGATTTAAAATCGATAAAAGTATTCATTGAAATTATCGACCAGTCAATCATTTTGATTATTCTATAAAAATCTCCGTCACATTGATTTTTCACCCCTTTCTTTTATTTCCCTATAACAAACTGCTATATTGCTAATTTTGGCAGAGGGAAATGAACAAACGAAAGAAACAATTCTATCGATTTTAAATTTAAGAGACCTGAAATGAGGATCGCAACGATCAAAGCGAAGAGTTATGCCAATACATTTTGACTGAAAAGCCTTGAAAATAAAATAAAGGTTACTTGTCTTCGCAAATAGATTACAAGACAAGTGCAATTTTTCTAATATGAGTTGAAACAGGCAGAGTACAAACGGAAGACAGAGAAATGTATTGTTGTTATTTAACTCCAGGGGATCATTCCTGTTTCCTGGAGGTAAGGGATATATCTACACGCCTCTGCACCCACTGAGCATCCATTGTTGCAGTGGTTTTAACCTCTACAATTCCTCTACAAACTTCCGATCAAAGGGCATAAATCCGTTCGATTTCCGAATTTGAATGGTCAGAGTGCATCCACGAGTTGGAACCGCTCCTCTTCGGGTGCTTCTTCCTCATGGAACGTATCCGCTTCGACTTCACCACGTAGTATGTCATGGTGCCGAGAACAGCAGCCATTATCATTCCCCCAACGACTGTTACCAGAATGGCGGCCCACTTATGGCGCTGGCCAACCACTATGTAAGAGGAGGCCATGAATGCCACTGAAGTGCAGACTGAAGCCAGCCACATCAACTTGTTGATTATCTCCACCACCCGTTTCTCTGCCTTTGTCTCGCCTCTGACCAAGGTAATTTGGACAACCACAACAGCCAGCGACGTAAAAAGGGCAATGGCATTGAAAATGAAGAAGATTTTGAAAGGAGTGCTCTTAACTACCACGGCAGTCCCGTCATTATTATCACCGCCAGGCACCGTAAAGATAGCTGCAAAGGCAACTGTTGCGAATAGAACAGCCACCACAGTGACTGAGTTGGTGGCGTTGTTGATTCCTTCCCTGTGGAGCTTTCTCAGCTCTTTGGATATATTGTGAACATTTTTGTTGGTTTTCCTTGTTTGTTCAAGCTGGATATGAACATCGTTCTTGATCTGAGTGACCGTTTTCCTCAATTCATCCCTTGGTTGGTTCAGTTCATTTGCCTTGACAGCACCATAGCGATAAAGACAACCCCTTATTTCTGAGGATTCTTCGGAAAGTGGAAGTGCATCAGCAATGTCAAGAGCCGTTTTTGTATCCCTGTTCAGTGCATTAACATTGGTGTCTGGGAGGAGTAACAACTCATTCACTATCTGCAATGAAGGTTACAATAATCAGTACACTATCTGCAATGAAAGTTACAATAATCAGTTCAGATCTATGTTTGTCGTAGAGATGTACAATCATGAAAGGAAGAATCAATGGCTATACTAGTTCAAGCTTGAGCCAAAGCTAAATCCAGTGCAGGAAATACAACAAACGTCCATAAACCCTATGTTTGAGAGCAACGATGTTAAAACTGATACTGGTTTTTAGCCAACTAAACCTTTTTGTTCACACCAGACTAGTAAATAAGAATCCTAGTTCATCACAACTATATTTAACCATGCAAATAAAATTAGATCACGAAAGGAAATTGCTAAAGAAGAATAGCTCATATAATCGCAAGCATTTGCAAGGATCAGATGACCAGGTAAGGATTTTACAAATGGCATGAGTAAATCTTTAAGAAATTATACACTAAGGGCAGATAAACAAATTAGCATTACATACCAAAAGCAATTACTTAAAGCACTGACTCAAGATATTGGTGGGATTAAAGCCGTCGTTACCATATTAGAAGAATTGGAATTCACAGCCATTTATCACTAAAAAGAAACACTGGTAAAGATAAAGCGTAACCCAGACATACCTCTGCTCGCTTCTTCCTGGTGGCAATATGTAATGCTGTGTTACCAAATTTGTCTGGCAGCATTACAATTGCGGAGTCTGCCTCAAGAAGCAATTTCACCACCTCGCAGTTCGTCCCTTTTACAGCCATATGCAATGCAGTTTGCCCCTTCTTGTCAGTTCTTCGTGCCAACTGTGGATCCTTAGTTAGCAATGCGCTTACAATCTCTGTATGCCCCTGTCTTGCAGCCAGATGCAATGCATTCTTCCCATTTGACTTAGAAATCTCCAACAAGGTAGAATCTTTCGAGAGCAGTTCATCAACTACCGCTATATGCCCTTTATGAGCTGCAGATATAAGTGGGGTTGAATTCGACGGACCAATTGTTTTGCTTAGCCCAGGGTCATGATCTAGGAGCACCTGGACAATGGCTGCAAGAAAAGTAGAAGTATGAATGCATTTTCCAACGGCACAGACACAATCAAAACAAGCAGTAGCTTTCATGTACTCACTACAATCAGAAATCATTATTTGAGGATAGACAAAAGAACCAGGAAAGAAGCAACTAGGAAAGGTATCAGTAGTTTTACGAAACCCCTGTCAATGGAAATCAATATTTGTTTCACAACATGATGCAATTTCTCTAACATAACTGTCGATTCAATAGTATCATCAGTGTGTCCTAAACTCTCGAAACAACAGACAAACCAAGCACCAAAACTAGAAGACAATTGTCACATGGAATGGTTAACATTTGTGCCTTGTCCACAGAAGAGCATAGCTTATAATACCACCAAATCCTATCCCTCAAAAAACACAGGCTTGGATACTCATCCAACCAAAATTCATCACTCTTTTGAATCATAAACCTCAAAGATCAAATACATCTTACTTCCTATTCGATTTCCTAGTGCAGCTTTGCTCATAGAATAAGTACGCTATATCGTACACTATATTCAACATGATTCAAAGAACACGAGAAATGATATAGCGAGATCCCAACATCTCAAAGAAGCAAACTTTTATCCTAATAGTCCTCTTACCATCTTTCACCAAAACACCCAAACTAACAAATCACACAATTAGAATTAGATAAAGAGATTCTAAATCCAAATTAGCACAAATGCTGAAGATCATTACCGTGATGTCCTTGACTTGCAGCAGCATGCAAGGGATCAAACCCGGACCGGTTCTTCTTCGTAACGGTCTCCCGATTCGAATATTTCAACAGCTCCTTAACCACATCAAGGTGCCCTTTATCCGCCGCCGTGAACAAAGGCGTCTCTCCCAGCTCATTGACCTCATTCACCACCGCCGCCCGAACCTCAGCCACCTCCGTATCAAACTCCGCACCGCTAACTGTCCCCACAATCTGCGAATCGATATCGCCGAGAATCTTCTTCACGGCGGCTAGATCCGCGCGCTGAGCCGCCAAGTGGAGCTCCGTGTCGTTGTGCCGCCCGGTGACCTGCTTCAAGTACTTCTTCTTCCCCGCCTGGTCCATCCGCTTTCCGGAGTTGGAAAGCACCAAAGCCGGCGCCGACGTCGTGGAAGACGGAGACGGCGACGGCGATGGCTCCGCCAGAGAGTTCTGGTTTGGCTGTGCAGTCATCGGACCCTTCTCTAAATCCCCATCACCTCCTACAAGTTCGATCATAATCACAAAAAATACGCAAATATTCAGAAAAATAAAAAAAATCTGTTTGGCTCGGAGGAAAATAAAGGAAGCAACTTTCCTGGAAAATAAAATATGGGTTCAATCAGGAATGATGAAATTAAGCATGTGACAAAAGTAATATACAAAAGACAAGTTGTTGATTGATGATGATATTTTATTGGATTGTTCATTCAATTATTTTCGGAGCTGAGCTACAGAGAATCTTGTTTTCTTTTTCTGAGGTATATTTTCCCTGAATAATCAAACCAATCCGATTAAAAAAAAAAATATTCTAGAGAGAGAAAGTACCTTGTTCGATTGGGAACGCCATGAGAGAGAGAGAGAGAGACAACAGTCTGAGAGTGGGAAGAGAGCTATGAGTTTATTTAGCTGAGGGTGGTGGGTTGCTGTGGCGGTGAGTGAAAAGACGAAAAGGGGCAAGGATAGGAAGACAAGAAGATGACAAGGAAAGGGAGGAAGCAGGGAGGAAAAGGGGTCGCTAATCAGCATTAGTCATGGTTGGCTGACTGTTTTGGAATTTTGCTTTCCCATGTTTAATGCTCTCTCTGACTTTCCCTGTCATCACCTGAAAATACCAAATTACCCTTCTCTTTTTCTTTTACTTTTTGGACAACATGTAGAATAAAGCGAATAAGGATCTTTTTCGAATCCTCTTAAGTGAGGATTTCGAGAATTCTTATATGATATTTGTTTATCGTATATTGTACGATGATAATCTTTTTTAATTCATTTGATTCGATGATCGTAAAGAGAGATGCGTAAGAAGTAAAAGTAATGGTCTAATTGGATAAATGGTGATCTTGATAATAGAGTTGTTGGAAGGTAGTGTCGAGGATAACAAATTCAAATTAAAACCTACTGGTAAAGTCTGTTAGGATTTAAACTCAAAATAAAATCTCTATTAATTCTCCGTTAACCCCATTAACCATGGCTTCACACTCAACAACCAAACTTCCTCCGCCGTCACCATTTGTGAATCTTTTGACTAAAAATGGAAACACCAAGGATGATCTGAGGCTTCTCACTTATAACACTCAGCTTACCTAGACGAGTTTAATGAAGGATCTTGTAGTGATTGTCAAGTCTGCCATGGGAGAGGAGCAAATATGTGCCCTGAAGGTCATTGGTCCGAAGAATTAAGCATGACGTTCTTTGTTTTACCTTTTTTTTTTTTTTTCCTGTGTGGAACTGTTGCTGACATGAATACTAACAAAGGTATTTTAGCCTCTCTCTAGCAACTACCGTATAGTTCACCAACCCTAAAAATCAAAATCAGAATGTGCTGTGTAGAATACAGGTTTAGAATTCGTCTACAATTATTAATCCACTTGTAGTAGTTTATAACCGAACTCATCGTTTGATCTTGAAGCTAATAATGGGTTACGAATGGCAATGGGCTTTAGAATTTAGATGCGTAATGCACTTGCACACAAACACTTTGGTGATATCAACATTTCAAGCGAAATGAAACTTCCTTGTAATTATTACTTTACAAAAAAGGCACTTGGTGAAGAAGCCAATTTGAAACAAGATACAAATTTTGGGAATGACAAAATGCGCTACTATTCGACTAATGCCTAACATCTTTTAGAATCTTGAAATTTAAATGCGTAACGCTCTTGCACACTAACACTTTGGTGATATCAACATTTCAAACGAAAGGAAACTTCCTTATAATTATTACTTTACAAAAAAGGCACTTGGTGAAAAAGCCAATTTGAAACAAGACAGATTTTGGGAGTGGCAAAATGCGTATGAGTCCGTGGCTTCAAAGGACATATAATTTAATCACTTTTGGATTTTTGCTATATCCTCCTTGGAATTCTGGTTTGTGGGTCTTCCATTCCCAAACTTATCTATTGCTAGTCCAAGAGGCTCCTTCCTCGAACGAAGCAATGCTCACTTAAGGTCTTCAAAATGAGAAGAATGACCTCTTTCATATGAATCCGGATTCTCCTTTGATTCTCTTATAAGGATCTCGAAGATTTTTTAATCGTGTTCGTTCATCGTATATTGTGTGGTCAGAAATCATTTTAAATATTTTTATTTAAAATTAAACACAAACAGTACCTGATAAAAAACTGACCGTACGATGTACAATAAACAAACATGATTCATGAATCTCCAGAATCCTCACCAAAAGGATCCGAAAAGAATCCTGTTGGCTTTCATATAAACTTTTAGATTAATTTAAAGGTAATTAGACTTATTGGCTTAAATCTTCGTTTGTGTATCTAACAAACTTGAACTAATGAAACAGAGTGTAAAATCCCAATTCCATAAAACTCAATAACTTTACGGACTCAATTCAACCCATCTTTTTTTTTTTTTTTTTTTGAAGACCTAGACAACCCAATTACACAAATTCAACAAGTTTCAAATTCACGCAATCTAATTCCACAAATTCAATGAAATTCAAAACCCAATAGACCAAGAAAAGATTGGGATTGTTGAGTTTTGAAAATTGCTTCACTCTTTTTCATCACAAACCCCTAATAGGGTTGTGTAACACCGTATGTATCTTCCTGACTCATCATCGTCATAGAGAACAAATGAATAAAATCGATTCTTCTGTTTGGAGTAGAGAAACACAAGATGAGGTTGCCACTAAATCTAATATATGAGTACGAGACAACGTGGATATGAATCTAATTACAAGCCAACCATTCAAATTGATACTTCCTCTTTTGTAAATTGATCGAACCCAGGTTAAAATTCAAAAGAAAACTTGATATGAATCTAGTTACAAGCCAACAATCCAGTAGATTTAAGATTTGGGGAAGACAGAGAGATAAGAAATCATAAGCCTTGGGATTCTCCTGCGACAGGGCTCGTGGGCTTAAAGAGGGCCCACTATCAGCTATACCCATCAAGAATGTTTGAGCCATAAAGAGAATGGATTTGGCTTGAAAAACTCAAGGGGAATTTGCATGAATGGCATTTGAACTTTTTCATTTTTGTGCGATTACCATGTAAATTAGAAAAATTAATAATTTATCACTTAAACTTCAAATAGTGTTATAATTTGGCGTCTATGTCTACTTCCATCTGCATTTTCGTCAAATATTGGACATGACAAATACAAATACCATTTTCCTTCGACAAGAAAGCTGCACAAACATATGTGGTTTTGTTGGCAAGAGAGTGGATGTCGATAAAATAAATGGGTTCAGGTACTCTAGTCATGATAAATGACCACAATGCCTTCGAAAAAAGGCCTCGTGAGTTTTGGTGAATGCCTTCGAAAAACGGGCCTCGTGAATTTTGGTAATGTCGAACTAAACATGAAATTTCGTAAGATTATTTCTAATTTCTACTAATTCAAGAGAGTTTTTGTACCATTTGAACAATTTTCCCAAAACAAGAATTTACTTGGTAAAGATTAGTAAGTCACGAATTCAAATGTTAAAACTCATGACCCAAGCGACTGAGAACATTAACCATTTTGACAGATAACAAAAATAATTGATACTTGAATTGATAGGGGCACCCACACAGGTGGAACCCTCCAAAAATAGACGTATGCCACTTATAGCAACGAGCACACGGTATTCTTTAGTAAAAGGCGAAAGAATAGTTCGCTTTGTGCTCAACGCATGGCTCCGTGAGTCTATCAACATTCTACTGCTGTTTTTTATATCCCAGAGGCTAGCTGCTTCTTTGGACTAGCCGATGTGGGAGTAACTCACCGCTTAGTTGAACGGCCAACGTAGAAAAACTTACAAGCTCAACAAAACCCATACCAGCGTCTCAGCTCCTAGAATTTGATGCCCAATGGCACAAAGCGAGGTTCATGAGCAGATGACTGATGACTAGTATGATGCCGTTCTTCAAATTTCTACTCTTTTGAACAATTTCCAGAAGATATATAATTTAATCACTTTTGTCTTCAAAATGAGGAGAATGACCTCTTTGATATGGATATGGATTCTCGTCGGATCCTCTTTATGAGGATTCCAAAGATCCATGAATCGTGTTTGTTTATCGTACATCGTGCAATCAGAAATTATTTTAAATATTTTTATTTAAAATTAAACACAAACAATACTTGATAAAAAACTGACCGTATAATGTACAATAAACGAAGACGATTCACGGTCCGAACAATCCCAATTCCATAAAACTCAATAACTTTAAGGACTCGATTCAATCCAATGGTTTTTTTTTTTTTTTCACAAATTCAACAAGTTTCAAATTCACACAATCCAATTCCACAAATTCAATGAAATTCAAAACCTAATAGATCAAGAAAAGATTGGGATTGTTGAGTTTTGAAAATTGCTTCGCTCTTTTTCTTCACAAAACCCTAATAGGGTTGTGTAACGCCGCATGTATCTTCCTGACGTATCGTCGTCATCGAGAACAGATGAACAAAATCAATTCTTCTGTTTGGAGTGGAGAAACACAAAATGGATTGTCACTAAATCTAATATATGAGTATGAGACAACGTGGATATGAATCTAGTTACAAGCCAACAATTCGAATTGATACTTCCTCTTTTGTAAATTGATCGAACCCAGGTTAAAATTAAAAAAAAAAAAAAAAAAACTTGATATGAATCTAGTTACAAGCCAACAATCCAGTAGACAGCCTAAGAAACAAACAAAAAAATGGACCTGTAGATTTAAGATTTGGGGAAGACAGATATAAGAAATCATAGGCTTAGGGATTCTGCTGCGACAGGGCTTGTGGGCTCAAAGAGGGCCCACTATCAGCTATTCCCACCAAGAATGTTTGAGCCATAAAGAGAATGGATTTGGGTTGAAAAACTGAAGGGAATTTGCAAGAATGGCATTTGAACTTTTCATTTTTGTGCGATTACCATGTAAATTAGAAAAATTAACAATTTACCACTTAAACTTCAAATAGTGTTATAATTTTGCGTCTATGTCTACTTCCATCTGCATTTTCGTCAAATATTGGACATGACAAATACAAATACCATTTTACAAAGAAATCATTATCCATTTTCCTCGACAAGAAAGCTGCACAAACATATGTGGTTTTGTTGGCAAGAGAGTGGATGTCGATAAAATAAATGGGTTCAAGTACTCTAGTCATGATAAATGACCACAATGCCTTCGAAAAAAGGCCTCGTGAGTTTTGGTGAATGCCTTTGAAAAACGGGCCTCGTGAATTTTGGTGATGTCGAACTGAACATGAGATTTCATACGATTATTTCTACTTATTCAGGTGTTTTTGTACCATTTGAACAATTTTCCCAAAACAAGAATTTACTTGTCAACGATTAGTAAGTCACGAATTCAAATGTGAAAACTCTTGACCCCTGCAACTAAGAACATTAATCATATTGACAGATACATAAATAATTAGTACTTGAATTGATAGGGGCACCCACAAAGGCGCGCCCCTCCAAAAATAAGCGTATGCCACTTAAAACGACGAGCACACGGTATTCTTTAGTAAAAGGCGAAAGA